CTTCAACTAGTGGATCGTAGCATCTAAATACCAAGGAGAGTAGTTGAGGATGTTTAAATACAAGTTGACAAATTTTACTTTCCTGTTGATTTTATTGTGATTGACACTCACCCAGATGCAAACCTTAGCTCTCAAATCCCTATAATACTTGGTAGACCTTTTCTTTGCACATCTAATGTTGTGGATAATTGCAGGAATGATCTCATGAAGCTTGCATTTGGGAACATGACCATGGATCTCAATGTGTTCAACTTATTCAAGCAATGGGGGGATGATGAAGAAGTGCATGAAGTTAATAGGATTGACAACTTGGTGGAGGAACAATTAGAGCTATTGGGCATGTTGAAAGTAGAGGAAGAGATTGTTGATATAGAGGACGTGAACGAGTAAGAGGAAGTTTGAAAAAGGTAGAAAAATGGACCTCGACATTTGAGAAACTTCCACACCAAGACAAGAAGATTTTTCCATCAAATGAGCAAAAACCCTTCTTGGAGTTGAAGCCATTGCCATCCCATCTTAAGTATGCATACCTTGGGGAGGATAAGACTTTTTGGTGGTGATTAGCTCAACTTTGGAGGAAAAGTAAGAAGAGGAACTCTTGGAAGTGTTGGGGAGGCATAAGGGATCAATTGGGTGGACAATTGCAAACATCAAGGAGATGAGCCCCATCATTTGTACACACTGCATCTACCTTGGAAAGGACACCAAATAGTCTCAAAAACCACAAAGAAGGTTGAACCCAACTATGGAGGATGTGGTGAGAGACGAGGTACTAAAGCTACTTGACGTGGGCATCATTTTTTCAATTGTCGATAGTAAATGGGTAAGTCTCACTCAAATAGTACCCAAGAAGTTGTGAGTCACGGTTGTTGTGAATGAAGATAATGAGCTTATTCCAACAAGGGTGACCACAGGTTGGAGAGTGTGTATTGATTACTGAAAGCTTAACTTGTGCACAAGAAAGGATCACTTCCTTTTGCCATTCCTCGACCAGGTGTTGGAAAGAGTAGTCGGACATTTGTTTTATTGCTTCTTGGATGGATACTCCAGCTACAATTAAATTGAGATTGCATTGGAATATCAAGAGAAGACCACCTTCACTTGTCCCTATGGTACCTTTGCCTACCGTCGCATGCCTTTAGGGTTGTGTAATGCCTCGGGAACCTTTCAACATTGCATGATAGGGATTTTTAGTGATATGGTGGAGAAGAATGTAGAGGTTTTTATGGATGACTTCTTGGTGTTTGGGGATTCCTTCAGTGGATGTTCAAAGAATTTATAGAGAGCTCTCGAGAGATGTGAGGAGAAGAACTTACTCTTGAATTGGGAGAAATGTCACTTTATGGTGACGCAAGGAATTATTCTCAGGCATATTGTCTCGGCGAAGGGAATCAAGATTGAAAAATCAAAGGTTGGGCCATAAAGGATATTAGGTCATTTTTGGGCCATGCTGGCTTTTATCGTCATTTTATTAAAAACTTTAGTGCATTGGCCTGACCTTTGACCAATTTATTGTCTAAGGATGTCCCATTCGAGTGGTCAAATAATTGTAAGGCATCATTTTCGAAACTCAAAAACATGCTTACTACACCTCCGATTATGTGACCACCCAAGTGGGATTTATCTTTTGAGCTTATGTGTGACGCGAGTGATTACAAGGTCGGCACAATGCTAGGTCAAAGGGAGGATAAGACACCTTAGGTAATAAACTATGCTAGGAAAACACTTAATGAAGCTCAAATGAACTATACCACCACTGAAAAGGAGTTGCTAGCAGTAGTATTTGCATTGGATAAATTTTGGTCCTATAACACTTTTTCACCGATATTAGTTTATAGTGATCACTCTGGTTTAAAGTATCTTTTGTCTAAGCAGGATGTCAAACCGAGACTCATCAGGTGGATCCTCCTACTCCAAGAGTTTAATTTGACAATCAAAGATAAGAAGGGAGTGGAAAATGTGGTGGCAGATCATTTGTCCCGACTGGTGGTGCAAGAGGTCGATGAGCACATTCCTATCCCTGATTTTTTCCTTGATGAGCAATTACTTTCAATTCATTTTGTTTGTCCCAAGTATACTGACATATGTAATTATCATGCAATAGGACAAATACCCACGCACTGGAGCCCGAAAGATAAAAGGAGGTTTATGGTGGACGTGAAGTACTTTTACTTCGATAATTCGTATCTGTTCAAGTATTGCCCTGATCAAGTTATGTGGAGATGCGTACCAAAAAATGAACAACGGGAAGTCCCTGCATTTTGCCATTCAAAAGCGTGTTGTGGCCATTTCTCTATGAAGAAAACTTCGGGAAAAATTCTATAGTCAGGTTTTTATTGGCCCTCTCTGATAAAAGATTGTATTTCATTTTGTAAAGAATGTGATAGGAGCCAACGTTTGGGTAGTGTGAGCCGAATGAACATGATGCCCTTCTCCCCTATGCTTGTTACCGAGATATTCGATTGTTAGGGTATCGACTTCATGGATCTTTTTCCTCTGTCATTTGGCTACCTATACATTCTGCTGGCAGTAGACTATGTGTCTAAATGGGTGGAGGCTATCCCTACCAAGACTAATGACTACAGAGTCATGGTCAAGTTTCTAAAGGAGGACATTTTTTCAAGGTTTGGGATGCCTCGACAATGATAAATGATGGTTGGTCACATTTCAGTAATATGTCATTTGCATCTCTTGTGCATAAATGTGGCGTTACACATAATGTCTCCACCGTATACCACCCACAGACCAATGGCCAAGTCGAGTTGCCCAATAGGGAGATCAAAAATATCTTAGAGAAAATGGTTAACCTGAATAGGAAAGATTGGTCAACTAGATTGACCGATGCTCTATGGGCTTATCGCACTACCTACAAGACGATCTTAGGTATGTCTCCCTACTGGCTCATCTATGGCAACGCTAATCATTTGCCAGTTGAGATGGAACACAAGGCCTACTGGGCCATAAAGACTCTAAACTTCAATTTGAGAATGGTTGAAGAGCATAGGAAGCTAGAATTGNTGACAATGATAAATGATGGTTGGTCACATTTCAGTAATATGTCATTTGCATCTCTTGTGCATAAATGTGGCGTTACACATAAGGTCTCCACCGTATACCACCCACAGACCAATGGCCAAGTCGAGTTGCCCAATAGGGAGATCAAAAATATCTTAGAGAAAATGGTTAACCTGAATAGGAAAGATTGGTCAACTAGATTGACCGATGCTCTATGGGCTTATCGCACTACCTACAAGACGATCTTAGGTATGTCTCCCTACTGGCTCATCTATGGCAACGCTAATCATTTGCCAGTTGAGATGGAACACAAGGCCTACTGGGCCATAAAGACTCTAAACTTCAATTTGAGAATGGTTGAAGAGCATAGGAAGCTAGAATTGAATGAATTGGAATAGACTAGAAGAGATGCGTATGAGAGCACCAAAATTTCAAAAAAGTGGGATAAGATTTTTCATGACAAATCCATTGTAAGGAAGTCATTTGAGCCCTGCCAAAAAGTGCTCTTATACAATGCCCATCTCTCAATTTTCCAAGGCAAACTCCTATCCCATTGGGATGGCCTCTATTTTGTCATGGTGGCCTACCCCAATGGAGCTGTGGAAGTCTCGAACCCTAAGGATGGCAAGACATTCAAGGTCAATGGCCAAAGACTTAAGCCATTTTTTGAGGGTTTTGAAGGACAAGGAGTGGAGGGAGATTTGATGGATTCGGTTTACCCGAACTTGTTGAAGGAATAACTGTTCTTATGCTTTCTAGTGTACAATCATTTTTATTTACTTTAACTGTTCATGTTACTTATTTTATCTTTTCATATACTGTTATTTTTCTTAGTTGCAGATATTGGTATTTTGTCAAAGCTAAAGTGCGACGCGCTCTCTAACCCTACTCATCTTTTTACAATCCTTTATTGCATATCATATCTTTTTTTGTTGCATTGAGGACAATGAATGAATCAAGTTGGGGGGTGAGGTGCACCATTTTCATAATTCAGCAATGTTTGGGGAAAATTTTTGTTGATAATACAAATTTTTGTGGTGAAAAATTCACCTTCCATATAGCATACATATTTTTGTTCACATTAGTGCAATTATGTTAACAATTTTAAAATTTTTGGAAAAATATCTTATTGCTGACCTGTATTCCCTTGTTAAGAGTTCTTTAGGCTGTTTATATGTTGATCTTTGTGTTGAATTTTGAATATATGAGCACATTATAGAAATTCATCCNGAGATTTGATGGATTCGGTTTACCCGGACTTGTTGGACGAATAACTGTTCTTATGCTTTCTAGTGTACAATCATTTTTATTTACTTTAACTGTTCATGTTACTTATTTTATCTTTTCGTATACTGTTATTTTTCTTAGTTGTAGATATTGGTATTTTGTCAAAGCTTAAGTGCGACGCGCTCTCTAACCCTACTCATCTTTTTACAATCCTTTATTGCATATCATATCTTTTTTTGTTGCATTGAGGACAATGAATGAATCAAGTTGGGGGGTGAGGTGCACCATTTTCATAATTCAGCAATGTTTGGGGAAAATTTTTGTTGATAATACAAATTTTTGTGGTGAAAAATTCACCTTCCATATAGCATACATATTTTTGTTCACATTAGTGCAATTATGTTAACAATTTTAAAATTTTTGGAAAAATATCTTATTGCTGACCTGTATTCCCTTGTTAAGAGTTCTTTAGGCTGTTGATATGTTGATCTTTGTGTTGAATTTTGAATATATGAGCACATTATAGAAATTCATCCTATGCTCGAGTATCAAATATATGTTTGTTTTGGAACTCACCAATATGTACACCTTGAATGTGTAATTTCATCAATTTGCGGATTNCATCTCTCTTCTCTTCCTACTCTCTTCAAATTTTCAAAACACCTTGCCCAACCTTAAATTGCTCACTTTTCTCTTGATTAGGGTTCAATTTGAAGTTGTTTTAGCCAAAATATTGTATATTCTTCAAAGAACCCTAGGCCCTCACTTTTTCCCATTTTATCATGTCCACTTTGATCCTTTACAAATCCCTCAACTCCTTTGCTATAGCTCATATGAATGGGATGTCTACGGATGTGTTTGAACCTTTGGAGAGTCTTTGGTGGATGATTTTGACTATTCTTGGCATTGGGGCACTGTTGTCACTCATGGCCCATACCAAGAAGACGGTTCCCGAGTCTCCTCCACCTATGGGCTCTAGTTCCCGTAAGAGGACCAGAGAGGGTCCTAGCTCCCAAGATAGGGAGGAGAGGTGAACCAAAGCAACCCATGATGCCTAGAGACAGAGGATTGAATAGAAGGAAGTCACGTGTGAGAGATACATGGATAGAGTCTCTCTCAAGGTAAACAATTAAGTTGTGAGAATAATTGAGGTACATAGTTTGAATGTGTGGTTTCAAGAGGTCAAGGGCTATAATTTGGCCATGTGCCATGAATTTNAAGTCACGTGTGAGAGATACATGGATAGAGTCTCTCTCAAGGTAAACAATTAAGTTGTGAGAATAATTGAGGTACGTAGGTTGAATGTGTGGTTTCAAGAGGTCAAGGGCTATAATTTGGCCATGTGCCATGAATTTTATAAGAAGTTGATAGTGTTTGGTGAGAATGGGGATAGGTTGAGGACAAATGTGCAGGGGAAGACTTTTAAGGTGATCCCCAACACGATTGCCACAGTGAAGGAGTATAAGAGGCCTCCCCCGACTACCCAGTGTACCTATATAATGTGGACGGGGGTAGGACTCTCACGAATTATGTGGCTCTCACCTATGAGAAGTCAACCATGTTTAAAGGGACGACATTGGTGGGGGCCTCAAGCACTCATATGGGGTAATAAACAAAGTGTTACATTAGAATGTTATGCCCCGGGGTTCGGAGAAGAACCTGAATATTGAGAAGTTGGCTCTCCTCCATGCATTTATGACGGGGGCAGCCATAGATGTGGCTTATTTTATATGGGAGGAGATGTGGTAGTTTGCCACGGACACAAACTCAAAGGCAAATCTCCCCTTTGGCAGCCTAGTCACCCAGTTGTGTGATCGCACCAAGGTGAAGAACTATGCATAAGACACTCTTCTTCCCCCAGAGACTAGAGACATTGGGAAGTCCAGCAGCAACAAGAGGGCTGCCAGAATTGGAGGAGAGAGACCTAAAACTCCAAGGCCATAATCATTTGCTACAGGACCATCCACATCAGTACCTACTACTGCCCGTACCATGTTACAGTGTACAGACGCATTGGAGTCCACTATGCATGGGTTGTTGATTATGGTTACGAGAATCTTCAAGCACACATTCCCGGGTGAGCCTTTCCCCACTGGACCACTACAGCCCCTAACTGGTCCATCAACNAATTGGAGGAGAGAGACCTAAAACTCCAATGCCATAATCATTTGCTACAGGGCCATCCACATCAGTACCTACTACTGCCCGTACCATGTTACAGTGTACAGACGCATTGGAGTCCACTATGCATGGGTTGTTGATTATGGTTACGAGAATCTTCAAGCACACATTCCCGGGTGAGCCTTTCCCCAATGGACCACTACAGCCCCTAACTGGTCCATCAACTTCAGCTCTTGTGCCCTCCATGACTGTTGAGGTGGACGACGATGACAAGGAGTCTGAGTCTGAGGAGTATGAGACCGAGGAGGAGGATGCTTTCGACAAGGAGGACAATTAGGAGGATTTTTGTACTTTGTCTCTTTTGATTTTTGGATGTATATTGCTAGGGTTACTTTTGTCGGCTAGTAGAAGTATCTTTAGGGTTTGGCTGTTTTATTTTGGAACTTGAACCCATTGTAAAGAAATTTTGGAAATGATAAATGAAATACCACAATTGTTTTGTTTTATCATTACCCAAAGCTATTTATTTAATTGCAATACAATTTTTGGATTTTGATTGGTTGAATATTTATGTGTATGAATGGATCTAGTTTAGTTTATAGCTTGTGGTTTAAAATAAATGTTTGGTAGGGACTAGCAAATCTCAAGTTAGGGGTGTTATTATCACAAAAACATGAAATATATTATATGCTAATATGCCCTTTTATACTTAATTTTGTCGTGAACTTGGGGAGAAATGCATTTAATCTTCATTTTAATGGAGTTTTGTGTATATGTAGATGAAAAGATGTAAATGGCTTGAGTTAAGCCCCCTTTGAAGTGTTCGAAGTCAATGAAGATGAGGAAATATCTTAAAGGAAGGCTTGAAGGGTGAAGAAACCAAGAAAAATGCAAGTTGGATGAAAACCGTCCGGAAGGTTTTGTCTTGGTCTACCTATTCACTGTCAAAACATTCCAAAAGGTTTTGTCTAATAGAATGGACATTCTAGAAGGTTTTGCTTACTGGTTTGCCCATTTAACTATTCTTGTACAAACCTTCCAAAAGGTTTGTGTCGACCTTCAAGAAGGATTTACCTAGATTGCCCAGACAGCTTGCAACTCAAGCTCTGCCATTTGGGGGTCCCACCTACACTTTTCCAACTTGTCTCCTGACATCCCTTACACATCTACAAGCCTCCTCTCACCTCTACTTGAACTTTGAAGGCTTGAGCAATAATGAGGAGGAGAGAGAAGAGCAAGGCAAGAGAGGGGAAGGCTATGCTTGTCCTAGCCTGTAACAATGCATCCAATTAGCCTCCTATGGATGGGAGGTCTACCATACAGGCTATGGGGAGCTCCATGGACATTTTTAATGATTCATTGTGTATTATTGAGCTATATTTCATTGTAGAGAGATAAGCTATAGGGAAGAAGACATAGTTTAGAGAGATAAAACTTAGATTTTCACATTTCTTCCAATCCATTTTACTTGTAATCTCTTGCAAGATGTTTTTAAGCTTCCTTTATTGTCTTTAATGTCATTTATTTTTAGTACATTTCAAGTTAGTTGAGTATCCTAGCTTTTACCATTAACTTATTTAAGTTTTCATCCCAAATCTCTTCGAATGGGTATTGAATGCACTTTCCTATAGTTTATGTTTATTTGCATTAATTTCAAGTCCAATCTTCATTTCTTTACAATGTCTCTTCCTTTCATTTACGTTATTGTTTTAAAAATGAGTAGCTAAGCTCTCAGTTGGCTAATCCAAGGGAGAAATCCTTTTGGGTATGCTATTTTAACTTGTTTTCTTTCCTCCTCGTAGTGTACGTTGATTCGGTTTGACTGGGTTGAGTGTTGACGTGGTTGTGAGTCTTTGATATCTTGTAGACTTGTCACGGGGTATGCTTGGATCCTCACCTCCATTTTATTCTCTCGCTTCTCACGAATCAATCGAACATCTAGACACCATTGGAGGAAGGCTTTGAGTTGATTTGGCATTCCCATTGGAATGACCTCTTCGGATTAGCCAACAGTTGTTCCATTTTATTTTCTATCACAAGCACAAATTCACCAAAATCACCTTTGAAACGATTCATCTCCTTCATTGTGGAGACGACCTTGGAATACAATTTCCAAGTAAAACATGACACTCGAGAGTCTCCCCGCGCTTGGGGAGCACTTTTGTTCACACACACACTCATTCCATTCACACACCCGTTTTCCCAATTCTTGCATCGAACCCAAGTGAGAGTGACACTCACCCACGCACATAAACCATATACACATTGAGGGTTCTCTTATGTGGATAATTGGGAATACAAGGGAAACAACCAAGCAAAGCCTCTCTCACAAACCCTAGAGAGCTTCATCGACGAAAATACATGTATTCTTGGATATTATTCAGTTTGGTATTGCATTTTAGAGAGAGAAGCTCAATGAGGAAGATGAAGTTCTAGAAAGAGAAATTTATGTTTTTGCATTTTCTTCCATCCATTTCACTTGTAGTTTCCTGTAAGACTTGTGTAAGCTTCATTTAATGTCTTTAATGTCATATATTACAAGTACATTGCAAGTTTAGTTCTACATTTTTGTATTTCACCATTGTTGTATTAAGTTTTCTTCATTTCAAGCTTTTAACATGGGTATTGAATGTTTTTCTTCATAGTTTAAGCTTTCTTGCATTAATACAAGCTCCAATCTTCAATTCTTTACACTGTCTCTTTCCTTTAATTATGTTCTTGTATTAAATATGAGTAGCTAAGCTTTTAGTTGGCTAATCCAAGGGAGAATTCCTCTTGGGTGTGCTAAATCAACTCTTTTTCATTCCTCCTCATGGTGTACGATGATTTTGTTTGACTAGGTTGAGCGTGGACACAGTTGTGAGTTCTTGATACACTGTAGACTTGTCATGGGGTATGCTTGTATCCTTACCTCCATTTTTGTCCCTCGCTTCCTATAAATCAATCAAGTATCTAGGCATCATTGGAGGAAGGTCTTGAGTTGATTTGGTATTCCCATTGGAATGACCTCTTTGGATTATCCAACACTTGTTTTCAATTAATTTTCATCAAGAACACAATTTTCCAAACCTCAAACATCAAAGATTTTTACACTTTTCCTTTTTCACCAAAAATCACCTTCAACATAATGCTCTTCCTTCCATAAGGATACGACCTTGAAATACAAATTCCAAGTAAAACACGACTCTCGAAAGCCTCTCTGCGCTTGGAGAGCACTTTTGTACACACACACACACATTTTATTTCACACACCCATTGCCCCATTTCTCACATCATTCTGAGGGAGAATAACACTCCCCTACACTCATAAGTCATATACACATTTGAGGGCAATGTGTGGATATTAGGGTAACGACAATAAAACCATTCAAGGATTTTTGGTGTCGTTGCTAGGGAAGGTAAAGCATTGAATTAAGATTGTGATTTTTAGGACAACAGAGGCAATGTGCGGGTTGAGGTACGTTGCTCCTTGTATATACTTTTGTTTTCTTGTATTTGCNGAACCCAAGTGAGAGTGACACTCACCCACGCACATAAACCATATACACATTGAGGGTTCTCTTGTGTGGATAATTGGGAATACAAGGGAAACAACCAAGCAAAGCCTCTCTCACAAACCCTAGAGAGCTTCATCGACGAAAATACATGTATTCTTGGATATTATTCAGTTTGGTATTGCATTTTAGAGAGAGAAGCTCAATGAGGAAGATGAAGTTCTAGAAAGAGAAATTTATGTTTTTGCATTTTCTTCCATCCATTTCACTTGTAGTTTCCTGTAAGACTTGTGTAAGCTTCATTTAATGTCTTTAATGTCATATATTACAAGTACATTGCAAGTTTAGTTCTACATTTTTGTATTTCACCATTGTTGTATTAAGTTTTCTTCATTTCAAGCTTTTAACATGGGTATTGA